CACAGACTTAGTTCTTAGTATGTACGTAGTTTATATTGATTATACAGGCTTAGTTCTTAGTATGTATGTAGTTTATATTGATTACAAACGCCTAGTTCTTAGTACGTACGTAGTTTATATTGGTTACACAGGCTTAGTTCTTAGTATGTATGTAGCATGTACCTGAGCCAAGTTTATATATAAAAAATAACATATTATGAATAATACCGTACTTATAAAATGTAAGTTGGTGCCTTCATCCATTGATAACGGGAGATGACTGTTGGCCTGTATATTTAATGTTATACAGAATTAGCGAAGTTGGAAGAAAAACTGAAGTCTATTCATTCACACCTAGAGAAGCAAAGTGAATTCTCAGATAGGTATGTCTATTTCAACATATAGTCTATGCGTATTCTGAACCCAGATCATCACTGCATAACTGGAATCAGAGGGGCAGCGCTTATTTTAATTTTTTACACCAATATGTGATCTAGTAGGCATTGTAAACTGTGATACTGTTAGACATTGTAAACCATCATGGCACGAGTAGGCATTGCAAACCTTGGCACTATTTGGCATTACAAATCATGGTACTGGTAGGCACTGTAAACCATGGCACTTCTAAGCATTGCGAACCGTGGCACTAGTAGTCATTGCGAACCATGGTACTATCACGGGGAAATCTTCTCCTCTGGGGGGTTCTCCACACTTGCCAGGGGGGAATCTCATCTTGTCTCTCTATCGCGTCCGCTTGAGGTACGGGATCGGGAAAGTCACTTAAACTTTACAGTCAAATAAGACACACACAACAAAATACGTTTCAACTTTCGTGTTAGTCGATCAGTCGAGCACTCTATAAGACACAGCGCCCTGGGGAAAAATCCCCAAGACTATCGCAAGGCTGACCCAAGACTCTGTCCAAGACTGCCCCAAGACTCGCCCCAAGACTCTCCAGGACTGCCTCTGGTATACTCGCCAAGACCAACTAAAAACTCTTTATTCATTTTCAAAACATTAACCAATTACAAAGCAGTAAAAAGACTCTAGGGCGTAACCTTCAATCATAAAGCCAATCACACTAAGTACTGAACACATCATATCTTTTGATTAATCGTTCACTACATTAATAACTACGAATACTAACTGTCAGAAATAGTAGTCCGAATAGTGACGGTTATCGTAATTAGTTCCGTCCAGAACCTCGCCTAAACGATGACAGACATAACATAGCCATTCGCTCGTAATCAACTAATTAAGTTGATCAACATATACGCGTAAACAATTTCATCACAGCACTAGTAGGCACGATAAATGATAGTTTTGATAGATAGAAGACATATTATAGTTTCTGAATTGATAATTTTCTGTTCATGTTGTAGTATGGAGACACAGTTAATGCAAGAGAAAGCGGTATGTAATATTTTAAATGAGTAACTGACTCTAACAGTGTGGTAGGAGTTTACGCCAGTAAATGTGTTAAACATTACCTACACAAGAACTGTTGCACATCTTAGTGCTTCTCGACCAATCAGAAAGCTCCATTTCGGGACTTTATACATGCTAAATGTCTTGTTTGTTCTCATAATTTGTCCAAGGTCTTTTATATCATTAATATCTTGGGACGTTTGTATACATGTACATGTTTTTATTCAAAATCACATCAAATGATTGTTTTGTATTAGAACATGAATATTCATAAGGTGATTATAAGGTGTGTTTTAAGTCAGATAAAGCCCTCCTACTCGGACTATTCTGAGATGTAAAGTCACCCCTCGGTAAAATTGAATGATTGGAAAGATGTGCATTATGCACTTAATTTGGCCGTATAATTCATAAATCTGTGTAAAATAATTCATCTATGTATGTCATACTAAGCACTGGTATTGTATTCTAGGTGTGCGCCAAATTAGGATCAGAAAATGCTATGCTAAGCAATGAGATCCAATTTGGTCAAGAAGAAGCTGAGAAATATAGGGACTACATTATTAGACTGAAGAAGGTAAGACATGGAAAAATCAGAGTGTAGTTCTGCAACATTCGCGAAGCAGTCTTGTAAATGTCATGTTTAGATTTTCGCTCGCACTAGGGGTGTTACCGAACCCTCGAAAGGGTGACCATGTTTATACCTAGATATCTACCAAATTCATATTTATACCCATCATGTGTGTTACCACAATGCATATCAAATACAGTCTGATGTTCTATATATAAATAACCAG